TGAGATGGAGATTGTTCAAATGTAGAACCAAATTGAAAAGGTGATTGATGGGAATTGTTTGAATACATTTTGGGTTGGGTGATTCCGTGATTAAGTGAAGAAAAGCAAGATGATTTTTGGCAAGTTTAGGTGTAGGGTTTCTGGGTTGGAGGGGAAATTGTGAAGTTGAGAAAAGAGACAAAAAGGAAAGTTGGTGAAGAAGGTGAAGAAGAACAACAAGTGATTGGGTTGACTGCAAACAGTGGACGAATCTAGAAGTAAGGGTTTCTACTAGGGATGTCAACGGGGCCCCGCGGGGCTGGGAGTCCCTCCCCGTCCCCATCCCCGTCCCTGCGAATCACGGGGACGAGGATCCCCGTGGGGATTTTTTGCGAGGGGCACCCGTCCCCGTTCCCCGCCAATTAATCTCATCAACAACACCACTCGACTCATCTACCAAACAAGAAATCATATTTCAAATAGAAGCATTCATTCGTTTTTCGACCAATCAATTCATTTACCAGACACAAACAAAGATATCCAAGACATAGGCATATAGCGTTCCGATCCGATGAAGGACTATAATGAACTAAGATTTTATGAAGAATAAAGGAAATAATGACAAAGAGGCGCCCAAATCTTCTATTATCTATGCTTTGCCAAAGTTACTTAAATTCCAATTTGTTACACAGTTTGGTTTCTAAGAAAGCTAAAGAAAAAGGAAAGAAATTTGGATTCAAGTTTAGAAAATCTTGAAAAGTTCAAACACTTACTAGAAGAATCGGAGAAATGTAACATTGATGGCACTAAGAGAATTGATTACTCCAACATAATCAAAAGGAGAATCAATAAAACGGAAAGGCTTGCTTTCTTTTCTTTTCCGCAGGTTTCTCTCCAACCAAACAGAGCATTAAACAAACAAATTAATAAAAAATCAAAAACCTTTAAGATTAAATGTTAAACTCCAAGAACTAGAAGAAAACCAGATTTCGGGGAAATGAAATCTACCAAGCTTTGCAAGAATCTTTGAGGTGGTGATCCACAGAGAAGAAGGAGGCGGAGGAGGAACCATGGCCGATGGAAGCCGGATAGGACACAGCGTATCAAAGAACAATGGTTGTGATTTGGCGATCTCAACTCGAAGAACTCAAAGAACACGGCGTATCAAAGAACAATGGCCTGAGTCTCCCCATTACCAGCATTCTCAACTCGAAGAACGCCTGCAAGGATCTTCACGCACTTGTGCGCCACAAGAGTGCAAATCTGGCGCACCACACTCAGGCTTCCGTTCACCATCCCGACCTTCCTCCTCGTTTTACCTCCCTTCTTCCCGCCTTTGGCCATTTTCTTCTACAGTGCCTTTCTGCCACGGATCGAACCTGGTGTAGGATTCTTCGCACTATAATCAAGAGACAACGAAATGTCACCTTCTGGAAGTAGGGAGAGGAGGATGCCAGTTTGAGACTTGAAGCCGATTGCCGAGCCATTGGTGAAGAGGTGGTAAGGAGTGCTGGAAGGGATAGGTTCGGGGACGGGAGAATGGGGCAGAGGGGAGAGGAAGGTTGAAGGTGAGAGTGAGTGAGGAGAGATGAGTTAAGGCTAGGGTTAAGAAGTCAATAATGGGTTGGGCTAATTTTTATGGGCCGAGTTAGGTGGAATAAAATTAGGTTAAGTCTAATTTTTATTGGGTTGGGTTTGAATTTAAAAATTGAATTAAATTTAAAATAAAATTAATTTTTATTTTTTATAAATTTTTCATGGGGATGGGGATTCCCGCAGGGCGAGAAAAATTCCCCACGAAAT